AATTACGAAAGCTTCTTTTTAAATTTCAAAAATACGTCTTAATACTGTTATAAATATTAAATATAGTTATTAATAGTTCGATGAATCATCTGACAGCGCCTTACCATACGCCATTGATATAACGACGTATTTTCATATCATAAATATTACGCATTGATCTTTTCTTCGAAATGCGATTTATGACTAATTTTTGCCTTTCTAAATTCAAATGCATTAAATCTTTGATGATTGAAGCTTTAAACTTGGAACTTGATTCTGGAATTTTTTATTATTTTCCGGTGTGAAAGCAGATTTTCTATATCGTTAAACACTTGTCATCTCTTCCGTGATATTATCCGTCACTTCTAAACCTGTTAACGCTTCCTATCTTCTAATCTTTCAATTTTCCGTTTAATCCCATTTTTGCACGCACGATCGAAGAATTAATTTCTGAGTGTTGATCTTTCGTTTATGCTTGATTTATTTTGTATGGTCTACAAAGTTTGCCGCGAAAAGAAAGACCAAGGGAAAAAGAGAGATGAGAAACTAAGACTTAACTCAGGAAAAATTCATGTCGCCCGTGAGAATTTTTACCTCCCACATTATATATAAAAATAAAAACTTTATTTTTACTCGTATATGAATAATATAGTTATTAAATTTTTATCTGACAGTAATAATTTAGTAACATGGTAAAAATTTTATTCTAAATGTTAACTTTTTAATTTTTTATTTCTATATGTAAAAATGTTATGTCTGATAAAATGTCCAATTATATCTTATTTTAAAAACACATATCATATCTGACCCAATTTCCGTTATATTCGAAGATTAAAACTATTAAATTTCTTAAATTTATACTTTCGAGATAATAGAGGTGTCGCAAATTATTGCTCGAAAACTTCAAAACAAATTGGCGATCTATAATCTATGGAACATAATCTACAACGTTCTCACGAGAAACTCTCGTCTTCGATATCCCCTAATTTATAATCTTGAAACTCATCGAACAAAGTGTTCAAATTACGCTCGTTAACACCGTTTCGTATAAATTGGAGTATATT